GTAAGGCCGTACGGCCTCGCGTATAGCATCACGTGTAGATAGACGTATAGGTGAATGCCCGGAGGAAGCTCCGCGTTAATCCGAGCCAATTATAAAGTGGTGAAGCGACAGGGAGGGAGGGGGTGTGCGATTAGTGAGAAGGGGGTGTGCGATTAGTGAAAAGGGGGTGTGCGATTAGTGGCCCCCAAAAATTTTGATGTTCCTGGTGGGCGGCAGAATTATTGATCTGGCCAATAGCACTAGGGCGGTTCAATTACCCCCTCACATTCAAATACCACCTCAAGAACTCTTTATGACAGCTGCTTGACGAAGTCGTATGTCTGATTAAGATATAGAAATTTGTCTGCGAAAACATGAATTGGAACAGCATCTGCTATGACGCCGGTGCATTCACAGCTGGTCTATTTCTCCTCGAATACGGTGCTGATCGTTTCATCGACCATACTGCGATTGTCGCGCGTCAACTTGGAGTTTCACAGACATTAGTAGCCTTGCTCACAGCAGGTGCGGAATGGGAAGAGGTGCGCTTTTATACCATAGTGCGGATACCGAACTTAGGCTAATAAATATAGCTTGCTGTCGTTGTGGCATCCATCCTCCAAGGCCGCTCCTCGCTCGCATTAGGCAATGTCATCGGCTCCTCAATCTCAAACATTCTGGGAGCATTCTCCCTGGGTCTCCTCTTCTATCCGGGCCGCATGGCATTTGATCGAAGCGCGAAAATATACACAGTCTTGCTCTTTCTCGTTACATCGAGTTTTGCAGTTGTCGCTCTGACGAAAAATTTGGGTCGGCTCGCCGGAGGCATTTTCATTGGAGTGTTTGGTTTATATTTGGTTTCGGTTGGCTCTGCGATATACAAGGGCGTGTTGTCTGCACCAGAAGACTCGGAAAGCGACGACAGCGACGATGATGGGAGTAGTGAGGGCAACGGCGTAGAGGTACAGCACGACTATCCTCCAGCCGAAATAGCACCTCTTCTTCCTAACAACGCTAGTGGAGAGCGTTCTGCACACGGTTGGAAACATACTCTTTTATATCATGTTGCCCAACTCATCCTCGGCTTTATAGCACTATCACTATCAGGCTATGTCCTTTCCCATAGCGCAGCTTCGATCGCTGATGCGTTCGACCTATCTGGCACAGTCCTCGGCGTTACAGTCTTGTCATTTGCTACTACATTACCTGAAAAATTCGTTGCTGTTATCAGTGGTACTCGGGGTCATGGCGGTATCGTTGTTGCAAGTACAGCGGGAAGCAATATATTCCTTCTCACCTTGTGTCTTGGGATTACGTTCGTGGCTGGGAATCAGAAAGAGCTTGCAGACTCTCTAGTACCGTTCGAGCTGCTTGTTACTTGGGCATCATCTGCGCTGTTTCTCCTGATTGTGCTCTTGGGATCAGGGCGGTGGATTGGTGGAATGCTACTGATATTATACCTTTCATTCATAGTTCTAGAGTTCACGATGTATAGAAGATGAGTAGACAATTGAGCCTGTAGATATTTGTGTCGGCGGCACGATAAATGCTTACCTTGGTTTTTTAATGGTATTACGCTCTGAGGTATGTTGGGCAACCGGACTGCCCTATGTGGTGAGAAGCTGTAGAGCAATGGCAGAAGAAGTGATGATTAGACTATCTTGAGGTGTGCGTACGACTATATGGGTTGCACCCTGGCTCATCGCAATGTGATGAGCCAGTCACAAACGGATGTTACATCATGGAACTTGCAAAGGTGCATCTGTGGAGCTCGTTGCGTTGCTGTTCGGGCATTTTGTCAACACGAATCATTCTAGAGACACAAAGCGTTGGGACAAAAACACCACACCCAGCTCAGAACAAATTTTTGAAAACGCGTCGTATTTTGAAATTTCTACAATGAGCCAGTGTCGCCTTTGGCAATTACGCCGATTGACGTGTAAAAACGCGTGTAATTCGCGTGATGGCGCCCGAGGTGGCCGAAGGTTAACAATGGCCCAGAACACGTCAACGAGCATGCCACATACCTTAAGGAAGCATGCAACCAATTGCAGGCAGTGGACAAGGATAGGCAGAACCAGATACCATGGAATGTGGTCCAACCATACCTAGCATCCACCGTTGCACTCATTGGCAAGGTCCTCCATCAGCCCGCGATCGGCGAGATCCTCCAACACATCCAGGACGCAACGAGTCGTGCAATAGGGGTTCATCCCCTAACATTACCCCCCTCCTCCGTGCAGTAATAGAGAAAGGAAAGAAAGAGAATATACTAAGAACCCCGCGGTAAAAATTTGGCCAACTTCTTAAGGCCGGCGTCGTCCCTCTCCTTGGCCCTCTCCTTGGCCCTCTCCATCACCCTGTTTAGGTCGTGCAACTGCTAGCCAACGCCGGCCTGTTAAGGAGGGCTCCATTGGCAACAGCTGTTCGGCAGCCAGCCTACGCAGGCCTACCGAGACAGCTCTATTAACGGCCTAGCCGTTCGTGCATGCCCCTTGCAGGGCTTAGCCCGTGCATGCACAGCTTCCTCCACGTCTTTCTCCAACGGCATAGCCGTTCATCTCAACAGCTTCCTCGGCAGCTCGTACGACAGCTCCGTGAGCCTGTCCATCGGCATACCGAGTCGGCCTCCTCTTTCATTAACGGGCTGCCCCTTGCAGGTCTCAGCCCGTATATGCTCCTCCTAACACCCAATATTGTTGCAATAAGCAGGCTTCCAACCCTGCTCTATGCTCCTTGCAAAAAATTTCTCCAGATCTCCATCGTCCTCGTACGGTTGCAAATTGTGGTTTTTAAGCGTGCCCAAATGGGCCATTTCCGTGTCGATTTGTTTAAATAGAGGCCCGTTACAGCTCCTCTATAGCTCGATGTCCTCTTATTAGCTTATTATAAGGCCTAGCCGCGAGGGCTTTCCTTCTGTTGTGTTGAGGGTACACAGGCCCTCCCGTTGTATTAAGGGCACAAAGGCCCTTCCGTTTATAGCCGTAAGGGCTGTTGTGTACAACTCGCAGAGAGTTGTATGTTGTAGTGAGGCGTCGGGGCCTCTTGTTCCATTGCATCTTACTCCGGCGCGCAAGCTTTCTATTGTTGTCCGATGTTAAATGCGACCGTAAGGTCCAGTTGTATATTGTACAACTCACAGGGAGTTGTAGTAAGGCATAAGCCCTTGCAGCTGCGTTTATTCGTTGAGGGCTCTTACAGCTCCTCTCATTCCGTGGCCTCGTGGCGTCGGTGATTATCGTCCGCTGTACGATGCGCGAGCTAATCATACAAAGTTGTGTTAAGGGCTCTTACAGCTCCTCTCGTTCCGTGGCATCGTAGCGTCGGTGATTGTCGTGCATGTAGGCCTTATGCTGCTTGCTGGCAGCCGCCTGTTCGTAGGCCTTACACTTACCCGCTGGCAGCAGCCTGTTCGTAGGCCTTACGCTTGCCCGCTGGCAGCAGCCTGTTCGTACGGCCTTGGTGGCTATCGTACGCATAGGCTCTCGCAATCCTATCGTTCCGTGTTGCTTCGTACGCAACAGTTATTATCTCCCGTGATAAAGGCTTTCACCACTCCATCGGCTCTCTCACAGCCTTCGGTGTTAATTATAAAGGGCTCTCGCAGCTCCTCTCGTTCCGTGGCATCGTAGCGTCGGTGATTGTCGTCCGCTGTATAATGCGCGAGCTAATCGTACAAAGTTGTGTTGAGGCCGGAGGGCCTCCCAATAATGGCAGCTGTATAGCTACGCGTCCGTTGTGTTAAGGCCAGAGTGCCTTCCGATGATGGCAGCTGTGTAGCTACCCGTTCGTTTGTGTATATTAAGGGCCCCAATAGGCGCCTCCTGTCTAGCAGCATTGCTGCCGTTCCATTTTGGTTCGTAAGGACCGTTGGCTTGTCGTATCGTACACAGCCTGTTAACGAGGCTGGTTCTCCATGGCGATGTTCGTTCATATCGATGGCTTGTCGTACGCCAGTAGGCAGGCGTATAGGTAGGCAGGCGGCCAGCAGGCAGGTCCAATCAAGGCGTACGAGTGATCAATTCGATGCCGGATGCTCGCTGAGGTCGCTGAGGCCGCCAACGCCTCGAGCCGATGAGGCTCAACAACTACAACTCCATCATCAAAATAATAGCTTGTACGACCTGTCGTACAAGCAAGAAAAGGAAGAGCAGATTCTAATGTAAGGGTTTCAATGCACGTTGGCAGGCCTGAGGCCGGGTGCGTCCCTTGAACTCAGGTTAAGAATCCGCTGGCGAGTACAACGGGCAGGAGATATACTCCTGCCAAGCCCGCCGAATAGGGGCTAGAAACGAGGGCGAAGCCCGAGTCGTGCAACAGGGGTTCATCCCCTAACAGTATAGAAAACCTTTCTATAAAAAGCTAACGCTACTGTTATCTCTCCCGGAGATTAGAAGAAATTTCTGGCCTATTGTTTTAACGGAAGACAGGTAAAGTAATAATCGATTGAAAGTTTCTAAACTTAGCGCTAACACAACGTTTTAGATCAAGAACACTGTATAAATTTGGATTGCCTTGGCTAGGAATACAGGAGAGAAGTGTGTATATAGGCATCTGGAAGCCGCTGTTACAGTAAATAAGGAGTTTAAACTTAACTTTAGAGGTGCCGGATCGGTTAAGGGTATAAACTTATATGCGTAGGGTCGCTTATATAACGGCATGAATCTGCTTCGCCACACCATCGTGAGGCGCAGGGACCCATTCAAGGAATAACGTAATCCACAAGTTAGTGGCCCGCACAAGCTAGTGGCCCACCCAACCACGCTACCGAGGCCAAATATTCCGAATTACTCCACCACGAACAAATATATTTGATGCAGCTACATACTAGCTAGCTGCCTGCCGCCTAGGGCACGTACGTGCATTGTGTTCTGTTGATTCGCACATGCTGCACCTAGGTTTTGCTCGCTGTGGCCGCTCGGCCGGTGGCTCTGCTGCCTCCTCTGCTGCCCCTTCCTGTACAGGTTGTGCACGATCGGCTGCTTCTTC